CTCTATTCAAAGGTTAGCTGAAAGAAATTTCGGCTCTCACTCAGGTCAGCCCCCGCAGCTCTTCAAACTGATTTCGTCGCCCAGTTCAAAGAATCATATTCGGCATAAAGCATGTAATAGCTGTTTGTTGGCCAGTGGTTCGGAAAGGCTCAACCGTGCTGGGTCATTCACCATTAAGACGAGTGTTGTTGATTTAGATGATCAGCGGGAGCTTATCAAAAGAGAGTTTTCGAAGGCAAATGCGACCCGAAAGGCAGTTCAGGAGGAGCAAAACCGAATACAGGGGCGCGCAGGATACGGTAGAGAAGTATGCGCAGCCGATGCGACTAACGCACAATCCGGGACCCCAAGCCGGCTACTCCATTCCGCGGCCTATACCTCAGAGGTTCTTTTTTGTTTGTTTTTCAGTTTCTCATTCGCTCGCTTTTGAATTTTTGCTTTTTGGGCGAATGTGTGTGCGAAAATGCGCATTTTGTGTACAGTTTTCCTGCCCACGCTCATCTGTCAAGAAATCGCCAGAAGATGCTTGCAGGCCTCGAATAATGCTTCCGTTGACAATTGGTGTCGAACAGTCTGATGACGATGAGTTGAGTGCAGCCAGGCCTATTCGCGAACCGTTTACTCCTGAAGTGTCGCTTTCCGGAACACGTCGTCGACATCCCACCACCGGTACTTTGTCTTAGTACCAGATCTGCTTTCGGCATCAAACGCCTAAATTTGTCTCAGTATTCGGTCATTCACAACAAATCCCATCTTTTAGAAGCACTGCGCACATGCGCCCTCAAAGATAAAGCATATAGAAGGTGTCACATAATATATTAAATAATGATTTATGGTTTTTAGTTAGAAATGGAGTAAAGAACAATTGCGTCACTATGATGTAATACCCCGGTCCCTGATTCAAACTTTGAGCATCCTACCCTCGTTAAAGTTTTGCTATCTTAGTAATCTCTGACTCCTGGGGTACAAAAAAGCACTCCTCCCCATTACCGGGACGTCACAGCTAGTTCAACTCACATTAGAAGCTATTCTTCTATTTCTATTCTGGGGAGCTTCGACTCCTCGGGACCTCACCATCTTTTTTTGTATTGCTTTTTATTATTTTACGTACTTATATATATATACCTAACCATATATATATATACATATATGTATGTAGAAGGCACCCAATCACACATATAAATACATATATATATATTTATAATATATATGGTTAGGTGTCTCCCACACACATAGTAATATAAGTACATATATATAAATACATATATATATTTGTAATATATATGGTTAGGTGCCACTAGTCTAGAATATCAACTTTTAGGGTCGAGATAAAGGATGTTAGAGACAGCAGTCGTCCGTGCCTCAGTCTTCAACGTCACTCCGTGATTTGTCGTTCTTAATTTCCCTAATGTTTATTTC